CTCGTGGAATAATTGTTAATTATGTAACATCCTAACAGAATTGAAAGTACTAACAAATGTGATTATCTATAAGCGGTTTGCATAGCCATGTATCACGATCATGTCTATCAGTGAGAAAGTGTTTATGGTGCAAAAGAGATCCCAGATCATTGGAAAGAACATGATGAAACTAACAAGATTTCAGACTGAAATTGTTCTAAAATCTTGCAACTAAACACCAGATGCTTGATAATTGGAAAACGTGTCAAATTCGTCACACTTTCCATTTCTGTCATCTAACTCTTTGGTCCAGTGGCGACTACATTTGTCTTAGTTTTACAACAATCGATCGAGATGTGCTCTAATATTTTCATATAGATACGTTTTCTTCGATCTGTAAGGTGTTCAGTTCAAACCTCATGGATTTGAGTCTCTTCCTTTGCGTTTTTGTCACGTTCTAGTGAAACCGGCTTTCGTGACAAAGCCTAGAAATCAAACAGTGCTTGAAAAAGGAACAACCACATTCTACTGCAATGCCAAAGGCCGTCCGCCTCCGAACATAACGTGGGTCAAAGATGGAGTGACAGTTGGTCTCGGGAGCACACTGAGGTTTGAAACAACATGGAGGAAACAGTCTGGAAGATACTGGTGCCATGCAAAAAATGGACTGAATTACGTTATCAACGCCAGTGCTTTTTTGAATGTGCTGTGTAAGTATCCTACGTACCTTGGACAGCAATATCTAATTTGGGACAGTTGTGCCCGTTTATTAACGAATTTGTCCGATTTTGGACATTTGTCACCGTTTTCGGACGGTATCCCTTATGTAGATTTCGAGATCGGACTCTTCCGTTCCCTAAGCCAAGCCTTTTTTCGTGTCTGACATTATGTGTTATGTCTACGTAATGCCACTTCAGGAATATTACACGGATATTTCCCAGTATTTAGTGACCAGTTTAAATCCCATTGTATCTTGGAGGAAATATCTTATTTTCGGTTTCTTTTTTTAGATGTCCCCTCTCCACCAGTTAATGTCACAATAACACACTGTAACGATTGGAGAGTGGAACTTCATTGGATACCAAGCCCTTCAACTGCTGCTCCAATCACGTATTATTTAATTGAGCAGGCGTCTAGTGAGGACCCTGTGCGTTTCGGCTTACTGTACAAAGTTAGCATACCAGATACCACGAGTAAGACCTTCAATGTATGTAAGGATTCTTTTCCTCGTTTCCGCATCCGAGCAGTCAACAATGTCGGAAAAAGTCTGCCCAGTTCACCGGTTAATACAACTTGCCAGGGGACTGAGACTGACTTTGGTATGTATGCCTCGAAATAAAAATTATAGACACCGCTAGGGCGAATGTTGGTAACAAAAGGATGTGATTTTTGTCTAACCTCTGTTTTCTCAACACGCAGTTTTCTCTGTTCTTCAAATCCCGACGAGTCCAGAATTTTCATCCATGATAATTTCTCACATCCTTAATCAGTCGTATTCAATGGAATTTTTCAATGCATTAAACATGATATCATTTCGAGGCGTTTTTCGATTCAATTTAGCAATTTTCCTCAGAGTATTGAAGACAGTCTCGGATTGCATACATTTTTCCCAAATCCACTCTGTGATTGGTATAAAATTTCACCCTCTTAGCCAATCAGATGCAAAATAAAATTAGTTACGACAAAGAGGGCGTTTTCCAGGATAGACAAAGATAAATTCTCCTTTTTTTTCTGAATGTTTACGTATAGTTTTGTGTCTTCAGGTGCAAGCCAGCCAGAGGTTACAAAGACCCTCATCTACCAAAAGGCGTGGTTTCTGACTATATTGGTCCTCGTTGCCTTTGTGGTTCTGATTTCAGCGCTTGCTATGTTTTTCATAAGCTACTACAAGGGAAGAGGGAAAAAATACGAAGGTAATGGAGCGAGAAACAAGTGCAGCGTGATGAAGCGTTACGAACAGCACACGTGTTGAGAGAAAACAAAATATTGTAACGTAACGTATGCTAACGTAGCGTAATGTAACGTAACGTATGATAACGTAACTTATGATAACATCACGTGTGATAACCTCAGCTATTAAGTGCTCAGTATCTGAGCTTAAACGTACTTACGATGACAAAAATTTGATATTACTTAGCCACAGTTTGCAGGGAATGTTTAAGGAAGCTTCAGGAACTCTGTAGGTACACTCAAAATAAAGCTGAACCGCCTTACTTTCCAACCTCGTTCCCAGGGCCTTTCCCGCCCCACCCCCAACAAAGGGAAAAGGCCCTGGGAATGAGGTTGCCTTACTTTCGTATCTCAGCCGAGATCAACGTTCTCTTTCTTTTAGGCACGACACGTTAAGAAATTTTCCAACCCGTAGAGCAGTCCTTTCATGCACCAGTTGAATTTTCAAGAATACCAAGCGCTTTTGACAATAATGAGAGGTAGAACAGGCAGTAAATTTTCATGGTTAGCGCCTGAAAAGGAGAACACTGCAAGAAATTCATCGCTATCTTTGTAACCTTACCCTTCACTCGAACACGCTGGCTAGTTTTCTATTTCAATCACCTTCAGCATCGTCAAATTAACGATTTATTATTTCGTGTATGTTTGAGGTACGCTTAGAGGAAGTCACTTTAAAAATGTTTGATTTGACAACGCACCCGGATGCGAATAACTTTGACCGTGCCTTTTTTTATACCAACTGCATTTCTGACATTTCTTACTTGTTTGTTTCTTTGCGTAGTTGGAAAACGCGAACGAGAACGTGGATATAACGACCAGGCAAAGCAATCAGAGGAAAACATTGAAGAAGAGGAGATAAGCAACTTAGTGGGGAACGCTGAAAAGTCGGACACCACTGTATGTAATTACCCTTCACAGCCTAACATCAGTATTTCCTAAGGTGCTGACAAGGAGAATTTGTGTAACAAACAAGAGATTCTTAACTGAGTTGGTGATCATTTCCTTTATTCTCCTTACCTTAATGTGTGATTCAGGGGTCATATAGCAAGGAGAAATT